CCAATACACGACACCTAGCAGAAAAAGGTCTTAACGAACAATTTTGTAGACTTTAAATATGAATTTTAAATATGATACAGCTGTAGAAATGTGTAAAATATTGACTTAAATATTTGTAACCAGCTTTATGTTGATAAAAAGTAGCCTTTGAGACTAGGGCATCACCTATCTACTATACCAATATTAACCAAATCGGTCTAGACGTTTTTGTGTGAAAAAATAAACATAATAATATATAGATATGTACAATATTTTTTCTCAAACTTTTACATTTAGGTATAATACTAACTTATTAGTAGGATTCTTTAGAATATTTTTTTTAATCAAATAACTAAATTTCAATAAAAACAAATTGGTGTTATATTCCTTTTTTCTTAATCTATATTGTCAAATCTAAGAGGGTTTAGTTTTTAAGAATTAATGCGTTCGTAAAATTTAAATCCACTTATGTCTTTTTGATTCTACATGAGATCCAATCGATCGTAAAGCAGGGTCCACACTGTAGCGAGCTGCTCGTGCGTGCGAATTCTCGTCACCCGCCATTGTCGGCGTGCGACTAACGCGGTGACGTCACGGAGGGAGCTAAGCCGCTGCGAATCGCGGCCGATTAAAAAACGCTTGTTTTCTCTGATGGATGGATTTGAATATTGTTAATTTGATTACCTACGTTATTTAAATTTGTTAGGGGACAATATTTTTTTTACCGTAGAATTAATGGATCTCTCTTGTTTACCTTTTTCTGGTGGAAAACTTCGAGCTCGTGTAAAAACCGTGCCAAGTTTTATTTCAATTATAATATGATGCCAGAACAAAAAATCGCTTAAAACTCTAATTAAACAAGTTACCTGTGTCCTTTGAATGTTTTCTACCTTAAAATTCCGTTTGTTACTTGCAGATCTATCAACAGAATTATCTGTATAAAAATTGTTTTGTGAAACTTAAGTACATACCTATGACAGACAAGACAGTTCCTTGCTTAGTTCCAACCCTTCTCCTACAATTTATTGTAGCTTCATCAAATACCTACAAAAAAACGGCACAATTGTATTTTTATACACCCTGTGCACAATATTTTTTGTAGCACATAAAAAGCAAAATGACTACATAAAAAGAAGACCGTTACGTTTAGATAATGGTAGTACAGCAAGCCCTCCACCTATACACGAACATACATAATTAACATAAAAATAAAATTCATAATCACACGAAATATTACAGTCGTAACTAACAATAAGTGCAATTTTCCATGCGATAAATCTTATAATAATAATATTTAATGTCGTTGACGCGAGCGAGGGCGACGATACAATGCGACGTGCGACATTCGATGCGACACAATAGTCGGAGATTTGACGCGGCCGATCGCCGCGTGTGCACCTTGCCTTTGTTCCAGTCCCCCTGGATTTAGCCGGCTAGGTGTGGGCCCTCGGTTTGCATCGGGTTTTGATAAGTAACGGTCATAGTTTTGTCAGTGAGTCGCGTGGGTCGCGTGGGTCCTTTATGTGAAGCTGACTGATGCGGTTATGATAAATGGTTTGACTCTTCAATCCCTGTGATAATGCCTCTGTTACACTATTTAATTATAATTGCTGATTCTGTCTGTATCTGAAGTATGCACTGTTTAGTATTATTTCCTTGGTTTTACTGACACACTAACCATTATTTTATTCACATAATATTTAATATTTTATCTCAGAACCAACATTCCACAGTTGGGGCCTAGTAGGACTGATTTTCAGCCGAGCGCGACTAGATAGGTGCTGCAGCCTCGGCTTAGAGCAAGAGATGGAACAAGGCAGTTCTTAGTCTGTAAATGTCTGACACTTTCTCTCCCCTCACCCTGGGTAAATAAAACAGGCACGAACTGATATATACAAATGTATATATTACTAGTAGACCCAGCCACTCGTTGCTGTGGCTAAGGTAAATAATATTGTGACTATAAATTGAGATGTAAGCTATTCTATCTTTCAAGTTGGATCAAAATGCACACGGAATGCAAATCAAATTTAAAATAAATTTTGTAGTTTAGGAGTCCATCGCGGACAAACACGTGACACGAAATTTTTATATATATGTATAAACATTATGTGCCTACAACATGACGTAACACCCCTCTAACAAAAACACTAAAGATAAATATATAAGGTTAAATGATGAGTGTGTAGGTATCCTGCATTAGTGTCGTACCCTCCTGTACTCCAGTCCAGGGGTGCATGGCCTGCAGGGGCGAGTGAAGGGTGCAGCACTGCACTGATTGGGAATGCGGCCGCGGCCCTACCATCGATCTGCATTATCTTGTATGTGCAAATAAGTAAATTATGATATGGGATTCAATTAAAAGCTTTCACTGCTTCAACTACATTGGTTATGTTGGAAAAATTGTCCTATTACTAATTTGATTTACACTGCAAGGTGATAAAAATCTCGTAAATTGTTGCCCGTTTTACTCTACTAATTAGTTTTGAGTTGCCCAAATACTTAATATGTACATCTGAATTTACAAAGCTAACAGCTACATGGCATAAACACATAATATATAGTGGCATATAACAGTTAAAAACATTAAGGGTTTTTTATGGATATGGACGTATCGTCATATCATTAATTTTGTACCTATCCATTAAATCCTATAACAAATACAAAGTCACACAATTATTAAATTACAAGATGAGCATCCACTGAGATCAAGCAAACAGCACGTGAAGTCGTTTTCACTTTAAATAAAATCCGCCATTACTAACGTGTTCACCCCATTGGGACCACCCTTCCAAATATAATATTAAATTAACATAAAGCCGTGAGCACGACAGCGAATCAAAACGGGAACATCACGGATATCGTTAATTTGCTTCTGCCAGCCCTTTCAAGGCGAGCCGAAGGTAACGATGTTACTACATCAATGCAGTGAGTCTGTTAGCAGCCTTTTGTGCAGGACTTAAGATCCGCTGCCTTGTATTGGACACCTTGTGTTTGTCTTTAATTTGATTACACTCCTCCTGTTAATATAAATTATTCAAACAAGGACAAATCTTCCAAAATGTCTCCTTTTGTAACAAATCTTTGCAAACAAATGAATGACAAGTACAGGGCCCGAGCAATTTGAAACATGACCATCTTTAATACTAATTGTTCTTTCACACATACAGTTTATACTTCACCGAGTTCATTCCCCATAAAGATAAACCAAAAATTAATTCTTCCACTTTATCATTAATAAAAAATTATATGACCATCAAATGTAATATGAACGTCTGAAACGTAAACAGCCATAAACGTTCCCGATGGTTGTAGACTACATCACAACGTGATGAATATTGCCATTTTATACACGAGGTAACGACCTCAAGGTGGTTTATAGGACCCACGACCATAACCTTTGATTGGTCTATTATAATGTAACCGATACTTAACGTTTAGGCAGTCAGGGTCTTTTTTATTAAGAGCTATTTGTGATTACCTTGAGTGGACGTTTACCTGACCTCCGACAAAGTTCTAGGAGTAACAAATCAATCGATGTCTGCGCTTCCGTATTGTTCGATTGTGTTCGATCTGTGTTTTCATTGCTTGTCAATAGTTTGTCTTTAGAGTTATTCAATTATTGTAGAACGTACTCTTGTATGATAACGTATACAAAATTAATGTACACCAAAATCTACTGCTTTTACATTCGTGACTAACTTTGTCACAATCAACAAAATAATATAAATGGATAAAATAAATTAAACAAGTTGTCCCCTAAGTGACTCTCCCACCACACACTCTAGTTACCTCGAGAACCTCTTAACGACGCTGCAACAAACAAAATAGTCAAATCGATCTTTATTGATGGAATAAAAGTGCATATAAATTTTATGAAGTATAAACGGGACATTTCTAAAAGTTTATGGGCCGAACACTCGTGGGGAACTAAGTACCTAAACCTAAGTCAACGCACAATGGGACACGTCTTAATTTATACGAAAATATTGGTATATTTTACATCCATTACTGTAATTCTTAAACTCGCTACAAAAAATCGAAAACATTAGCAGCAATGTATAGGTTTGAATGAGATTTTATCGAAATAGGGTTGTAGCAACACGTAGTAAAGGAGTTACGGTGACCATAAATTCAAGTTAAATTGGAGACATATCTTTTAATGTGCGTTTATTGAAGTGTTTATGTGGAGGTCTTCAAAGTCGCGCCTCGTCTAGTTAATGTACAACGAGATGAATTTGCGTCTCACGTCGTTACGAGACTCGATAACTATGAGAGTTTACACTTTCTAATACGATTATGTGTTAAATTGTTAATATTTGTTAATTGTTTGATGACGAGGTGGATGGAGTTACGCCGAGAGCTCTTTGAGCTAACTTTGATATTTTGTATTAATTGACTTAGTTTTAGTTGGAGCACTTTTGTTCAGTTAATGACTTAGATATTATAAAACTAATATTTAAGTTTTGAACATCAAAGACAAAGCAACATCATGCCGATTTATTTACAGCAAATAAATGCTGGGCCACATCACGCATTTTGTAGACAATTAACAAATCTGAGGGAATTTCACAATATTTAGCTTTGGAGTAACAAAAAAGTGTATGTTTCTTTACTTACTTACTGGTCAACAATTTTTATATGCATTATTGAAATTGTCCTGAAGTAGGTAGTTTCAACATTCTAATACTTATAGTCGTGGCAAAAAAATATTGGTGTCAAAGACAAATATTTTAGAGAGGTTGTAGATCTCGAGCTCGCATCATTACTAGCACACAGCTCGTCACAACACGGGCCGGGGACAGCAGGCCTGCCTCGGACGCGGCGCATTAGCTCCGTGACAAACGAGGATTTTATGCAAACTCCGCGCTGCCGCCGACACACTCCTTTACCGGCGAGGGCGGGACCCGTGTCGATACTTCATGTAAATTATCATCAATACACACTTAACTTTAGAAAATAAATACCTTATCAGTTAATATACAAATAGTTTACTGCATCCAATTACATCAACTCTGTCTTTATGTGTTCCTTTCGAGCCAACTGCGTTTGTTATACACCACCCTCCCTGGAATGCCGACTACTTTGCAAACTTGCTGGCCATTAGCGTAGAAACATCGGTAAATATTACCACCTGGAGGGCTGTAGGAAAATCTTCTGGTAGATTTCATCGTCCCGCTGTAGCCACACCATGACTTTATGCAAGTTCTTTTCAGTAAAACGACCCGAGAATTTGTTTTTAAGAGTATGTTATCATCAATTTTTATCTTCTCTTTCTCTTTCAGGCCGTCATCGAATGGGACATATTTATTTAAATCACAATTTATTTGCCTGTCCTTGTCTTCCTCGCAAATAAACTCGTCCTGTGATAGGACGTTAGTCGAGTTCGGTTTGACAATTGTACCTGTATCCACGAGACTCATGTAGGAAGCGTCAGAACCATCTTTCTTGTGACACACTCTGTCACCGTCCACGTACACCAAGCAGTCGACAAAGTAGTAGGATTTATTTGGTAAAATATTTGTCAAGAATGCAAGTTTATCAGCATTTTTAAAGTGATTGTATCTGATAGTCTCACAATTGTAATCATCGGTCTTAGTAAACTCTATGAAGCAGGACTTAAGGAAGAGATTCGGTGAGATGATGTCTATCATAGAGGTCGCATTCATCAATGTACATTCTGTGGTGCAATTATACAGTATGGAGCTGTTTCTAGGGATGTACGGGTCGTGTGAGGGAACTGTCTCCAGTGTGGTTCTGCGTTGGATCCTCTTTGAAACTTTGCAAACAGGTTCTTGGCCCTAAAAAGGTTAACAATATTTGCTTCTTAATAGTCATCTCAACCTGCAGTAACGACTAGCATAAGGTATATTTTACTAATAACCAGTACTCACCTTGTCTATTACACAGGTGATATCCTTGTTATAAACCTGAAAGAAAATAATGATGTATAACTGGGTACATATTAAAAATAACTATTTCTTGAAATATGAGTTTTTAAAGTAAATCAGAGTATTGAACCCTCGGAAGCCCTCTCTCTAGTCGTGTCGGATTGCCATCCCTTCAGATTATATAGAGTGAGGGTAGATCGTGCACCTGTGTTTGCGCACGCGCCTTTATCATAATATCCAGCGTAGTTTACTCGACTTAAAACTAAAACAATAGACTAAGGTTTACATAGTTGATCGAGCTTTTTAGTAATTCTTACCGCAAGCACTGGGTACAAACAGACATACTGTATGAAAATTAAATATAAAAAAGTGGTCATGTCTGTGTTATAGCATTGTTTGCAAGTTAATCAAGGTATGGTCTCTAGTGCCGGCAGTAAAATGTTTACTATGTTCCGAGCCAGCGCACTGTAATGGATAAACTAATGGAAATCTTTGATTACGAACTTATTGTTTTACTTATTGTTGAAGAAATCAGTCATTGTAACATGGACCTACTTGCGATAGTGCAACTGCTTTTTTGAAGGGGGAAATCGTGAAATGACTGTCCCGCCTTTGGTGTGTCGAGAGAGTATAAGACTATTAAGAGTAAAGTGACTTATAATAATTAATATAAAATGATGGCTATGAAATGCAGATAATACGGTTGTTTCCAACTAGTCAAATTCAATACTTTTATCCAAATGTCAAAAACGATACTTTTCTATGAAAATTGTATGAAACATTGAATTATGACGTCATAGCATTTTTGTGTAAAAAGCTTAGTTATTTTTAAAAAATTAGCTAATAAAATATCTAAAACTTAGTGTATCGATCGATCGATGAATAAAAGTATAGTTATTTTTCAATATTTTATTGTATTAAAACGTCGAATTAATTTATTTTTGACCTAGGACACTACCCAATTCAACGGTACATACAATATGCATTAAGCGGGTAGCTGTTACTCCCAGAGTAATATCGATACACGGTGACGACGTCACATCACTCTGAATATTCAAATGAGTAGTTTAGGCGCAGTAGGTAAATAGCATTGCGTGTAATTTGTTCCACCACAGAGCCTGAAGCGGTAGCTCACTTTACAAAAATATTCTTTAATGGAATATAGCTGTTATACATAGATACTTGAGAAACTTTCATTGTACTTATAGTTGATGAACGTTGTAGATTCTCCCAAATGTAATTTTTTCAACAATTGTATTGTAAACCATACCGTAGCACTCATCTTACTAATATTAAAAATGCGAAAGTTACGATGTTTGGATGTATGGATGTTTGTTACTCAATCACGCCGAAACGGCTGGACGGATCTGGATAACATTTTGCACAGACATAGGATACACTCCGGAACAGGACATAGGCTACTTTGTATCAACATAACATGCGGGAGGAAGCTAATTAAAACATAACACACGTAAATCTGTTAGTAAACAAAGAATGGCGAAATATCCGTGTGCGTGAAACTCATTCAAAAATCGTTCGTACCCGTAAATACCTCGATAAATAATAATACACAATAGAATCCCCATAAAACGAGCATATGAGCAATATTGAACCAAATACACAGATGTGGCAGTGCAGGCGCGAGGTGGCGCTGTCGTCGCGCGCCTCTTTTACACTTCGTAACCGTTGCCAATTGAGCTTTATCGATAGTCTGCCGCAGTCGCCATGAATTCTTATCTAACTTCTATGAGACAGGCTCCTATTTGAATGTTATTGGATCCCTGCCAACCCTTTGAGATCACGCGAATTATTTCTTAATAACCTAATCGAAAATTCAATAATCACATAATTTAAAAGCTACTAACTGTTGCGGTTTTGGAGAATGGAGTGATGGAGATGTCATATTTGTTATGACTTACTTTTTTTGTACTGCACGGTTGGCGCAATGGCTGTGTAACCGGCTGCTGTGCAACTTGTTGCGAGTTCGATTCCTGCACGAAACAACACTTTGTGTGATTTACAAATTGTTATTTCATGTCGGGGTGGCTTGTTTATATGAGTTGACACTGGAGAATATCCTTAATTCTTAAAACAAATAAATAAACTTATCTTAAATTTTATATATCTTTACAGTAAATAACGGCCCGAAAAATACTAAATGTATGTGAATATAGGTGTACATACATATACCCATTCAATAATAAATGCGTACCTACATACATACACAGAAGTACATACGTATAACCAAGTAATTCGATTACATTTTCAATTTTATAGAACTGGGCGTCAAGTGTCATGAGTACGGCCATAATATTAATCAGAGTAGGGTAACAAGATTTGGAGCACGTAATCGGACGGTCTCAGCGGGGCGCGGGACACTTTATTAGATTGTCGCCCCAACCTGCCAGCGAACGAGAAGAAACGGACGATGGGAAAACAAAATCCGCGCATGAGGTTGTTGCCAAATGTTGTGAGGTGTGGACGACGCCATATGTATGCGTTAAATGGAAAGTATTAAAATGTAAACGCTACAACACGCCTGCTGTTGCTCATTGAAGGCACAGAATTACAGAAAAAGTTTGTGTTGTGGTTCGTAGTTATAGATATGGATAGCGATCACACTATTACGGACAAAAATATGTATGCTCAAGGTTTTGAGAACATGTTTTTAGTAGCTTTAGGCACTTATTATAGCTACATCAAACAATTAACTTGACAAGAGCAATAAAAGAGAAAGTTGAAATTAAAACACGATGTACTAAAAACATCGTAATTTATATATAATATGATTATTGAGCCAATAATTCAACCAGTAACTTATAACCACAATGACGAAAATATTTAATGTTAACATTAGATATCCAAAATATAAATAGACGTGACATAATTGTACCAGTAAACTGCACAACAAATCAAAACATGTCCCAGATATCGGCATCAATAACAAATGACATTTTGGTATCTAATGCGAGCGCGGCGTCACCCGCGCGTCAGCCGCGCGTCACACGCAGATGAAACAATTGAGTGACGCGCGATGACGTCTGCACGCCGCACCGCGCGCGTAGGGTGACACAGCCACCGATTTTAACCGGAATCCAAGCGGCACACAATAGTTCACAAAAAGTTGCCCTCACCTTGCACCCCCCGCATCCCGCACCTACAATAAATTACTCTCCCAATGATTTTTAGTCCGTGCGACACATTCGCATGATTTATAACGCGTGCGAACAATGCTAACCGGTTACGGTATAAATCCGTGAGCATTGGGGGTGTTACTGAAAAGCTTGTTGTTTCCAATGTACGAATTGTAATTATTGTTTAACATATGGCCAGTGTTACTGTTCAACTTATTGTCACGAGTCCGTGCGTACTCATATAATGACAACGTTTCAAGTAACATTTAAAAAGACACCATTGTATTTAGGTGTCACAAACACATCTGGCAAAAGAAAAAGCATTCAAACAAAAGAAATAGGAATACTACATATTTATGCACGTGTTAACTAAGTAGGTGGTAGATAATTATGGGTGATCCAAGCGATTTTGGACAGCAAGCGCTCAGCTTTTTCAATACTTCAGTCTATGTAGGAACTTCGTGTAATATACGTCTTATTTACAACTAACAAGTACATTAACTCAAAAAGTTCCGCCTCGAGTCAGTGCTCGATAAAAAATCTTAATATCATGTACACAAATAAATCTCAGGGAATGGTAATTTACGTTTTCTCAATCATAAACATTCTGATATACGAGTCTTTAGCATATCTTCGAAAACAGAAACATTGATAATTTACGTCACCGTTATTCGAACGGTATAAAAACAAGCGCGGTACGATTGAAAACAAGAACATTTTTTCCTCAACAGATAAGAAATCATCATTACCGTCAAATGGCTGGGGATTCCGAAATCCATTCTCATCATTACTCTCGCGACATTGACTGCTCAGCACGCATCGCCAATAAAAACACGTCGGGACCTCCTGCCAGCATGTTTATTTTGTCACACCGCTCCCTGCCCTGCAGACGTGCACCCCTTGCCAAGGTATTATAATTAAGCTCATTTGTTATTTTTGCTCTATTCAGCGGACGCTGTGGCGCGCAGGCGCGATAAGCCCTCCTGTATAGGTGCGTCATTAAAGCCAGTTTTTTGATGCGCACGCGACTACGGCCCGCATTATCTTTTTATCGTTGCACCCCATGTGCACGGATTAGTGTGTGGGACACAGAGGTTTGTAACTGTTTTCAAAGTTGGTAACTGCAACGGGGCCATATACATATTATTCGATTCGATAGCAAGATCTTCGCCTTTTGTTTTTAACTAATTAGTCACATAGTCACATGCTGCTTTGGACTAAATTTGTAATTAATTGCAAAAAATATTGTTTAATAAAATCTGTAAATGATGTAATGTAAATACTTAGCTAATTTTATATTTCAAAAATTAACAAATTATTTGTTAATGATTTTGACACTTACACTGCTTATATAAAAGTTTTAGAATTTTAAACAAACTATTCATGCTAAACTCCCCGTTACAAGTAAGAGGGTTGAAAAAACTGAACAGCAGTGCGTTACCTCTGGCTATAGGTGCACAATAGGTCTTGCGCGTGTCACCCGTGTGTCACCGAACAAATATTGCATTACCCATTCCCCGCGCGCCCTGCACCCCGCCTGCCACGCGCCGTGTATCGTGAGAGTCCATTGTTTAGTCCCCAGCGACGCTCGCGGGCTGGACACCCTACTCGCTAATCCCACGGAAATTGCATCGTAAGTGGCACTGATTTTTTTCGTTAATATTGTTGTGTTTTTTTTGCAGAGTTTATAGGCACATTTACATAGTTTAGGCATTTCTGAGTTCTTGAAATATCGCCTTAAATATGGTAAGTTCAAGTGTTCAGTATTAATAAATGTCGTTTCACCTACAAATATACAAATGATGGAAGTTAAGCCCTGGACCACAACCTGTCTTGTCCAGTTGGCGTTGTATCACTCGTAAGAAACTGCCATCTGTTGCCTGAATGCTGAAGGGGGCGTCGTGACAGAGTGATTGATTCAACTCATCTGTGAACTTGCCTCACGATAACATTACACGTCTAGATTTCTATTGTTGTTGCAAGTACCTCCTGCTTCGCCCATGACAACTATTTTATGCATAGTATAATAATATCTATGTTAAGATTTTAACTCGAGTACAAAAAAAGGGAAAAGTTTTTAACCTGGGTCATTACACTTGCAGCAGTACCAAATTGTTAAATAATAATCTGCTATTTTATACAAAATTTAAGTGTTAAAGTTAATAAAAAGAATAATCAATAACATTCTTGAAATACAACACAATACTCCTTTTTCCTCAATTCCCACAAAACATCAAAATGTACTCGGCAGTCCCGCACAGAATATCAAAAATTCCTACAGAGGAAAGAAATAATATTCAATTAGAAAACAAAAGGGCTAAGGGTGGCTATCGTGGCCGGCATCGGAGCATGCGGGCAAGGAAATTATTAATTTGGAGCTATTAACGTTACCTACACCAATTGAGGACAAAAAGGTCCCCTTCGTACCTTTGAATACCTTTTTAATAAAGGGATATGGTAAGCTGTTATGTCTTTGACAATGAATGATGAGTTTCGGGAGGTTAGAGGTTGTGAGGAACTGAGGGTTTCTGTATTGCTTCATGTTTAAATAAGCTACGATAGTAGTAGTGCTCGTAAAAACCTTTGTTTTGTAACTGTTACTACGAATTTTTGTTCTCTTTATTGTAACGATGATAGCAGTTACGTACGATTATGAAATGAATGCCATGATTGTCACGATTATCATGGTTGTGTAATTTACGTTAGTCATAGTGCGTAAGTACCTACAGAATAGTTCGCAAAGCTCTTCCCGTTCTCTGCAAACAATAGAGCATAGTCTGGCTGAGTAAATGTTCCCTCTGGAACCCGACACCTCAACTCTACCACACAAAATAAAACACCTCCAACTCGTGCGATAAGGGTTCAATTGTTACCTTTTGATGTGTACTAAAAACGCTTAAAAGTAAAACTATCTCCGAGGGTTCTGCATGCGGGCACTCTATTAGCCGGACTCAGACGCGGTGCGGTGGTGTGGCGCACGGCCGTGCGGGCGACACCTTTACAAAACGCCTCCTTATTTAATTTCTCACTACATTTTATGCCACAAAGGGATTTTAAGGGATAACTAGTTTAGTTAGGGTTGCTCCTCGTATGTTAAACACGCGGAGGAATGGATTCTAAACTTGCTATAATTGCTACTAATGTAAAAGGTAGATGATGTAATTGTTTTAAGTGTTTGGTAAATAGGGGCAGGTTTACAGAAATGTCCTTAAATGCCCTTATATTATGAATAGACAAGAACAGTGTTATTAAACTTCGTTTCGTATGTTGAGAATTTCTTTCTGACTATCGAATCTGAAAGCTACGGCTTGTTCCAATAAGATTACAAAGTGAACTAGTGATCGGAACCTCTTGACGTCCGCGAGATCATGCAGTAGTCACAGAAACAATTGGTCAATCGTCTGAGAGTACGTATAATGGTTCGACAATTGGAGTGGCCGCGTCCCGTCAGCTGCAATCAACTCGTTTGATTGATTGACTTCAAGTAGTTGTGGCACCTACACCTGAAGCACCTCAGACAATTGTACTACATTTAGGTCACTAGGCAGACCACTCTTATCTACAAAAAACTTGAGACCGTCGTAGTCCACCTTAGTAAGTGGTAAGTACCTATGTACACTTCCAATTCGAATCTGAGTGAGAGTAGTGTTAGACCAAATACCTATATATTATGCGCCAGATTTAATACATATTTGTATTTTGTATTTCTAATATTAATTATACTTATTTAAGTTGAAAACGAGTTTGATAGATTTCAAATACTGGAGACGGAAATAAAATTTTGATGGAAATAGCTTTTAAATTCCAATAAGTAGGGCCCAGGGGCTGTGGTACAGTGCTGACATTGTTCCTATTGTGCCCCATGTCTGGTGCTCTTAGAGGCTGCGGCGGCTGGGAAATGAGGAGGATAGTTCCTTCACGCGCTCCGCCTCCTTCTTTGCAAGCATGATTTTTTTCGCAGAAGGAGGAGACGGCTTCCCAATTCCGAGAAATCGCTACACGTTAATTGCTTTCTTAGGGATGCTGCGGTGCTCGGCCCAAGCAAAGAACACCACCAACGAATGGTCCACCATGTCCTCCGGTTGGTTCTCGTAGTGTGTACCTGGTACCCTACGTACTGTGTGTTTCGTGTCTCGCTGGCACCCTACGCGCCGCCCGTACCTGACAGCACCTAAACTGACTCAATTGGACTACATGTGGGTCACACGCACAAGGCACAGTGGAGTAGACTACAGTTACACTTCGATTTAAAATATTATAGTAACCCATCAGTGAAAGCTTTAGGTTAGAACATGCGAGGGTGTTTGTTGGCTGTCGATTAGGCTCGAATAAAAATATTAGTTTGCTCAGTATAGTTTTTTTTCTAAACCACTATATTTTTCTATAACTATAGTCTATCACTTAATTACACTATGACTACACTAACAGCATTAACTCTACTATGTTAATTTTCAGGTTCTTGTGTTGATGTAAAACAATAATTTAACTGAAATAAAAAGTAAGTTACACTTGCAATCTGTAAATATGTATAAACAAAAAATGTGGATAAAAGTAAACACATCATATTGCTTAAGACCGAAGACCACAAAAATTACAAGTCAAAACAAACTCATACAGTCTGAGCATTGAGCCGACTCCATGCCTTTGCTAGCGCTCACGTGGATCCTATTAACTAAATTGTTGTTTGAGTCAGCGGCCACCTGGCGGGCGATCACCTTAAATGCCGGCCAATTGACCAGCCTCAGCTCCCCACGCACGTTATACCGTTCATATGACCAATTGTGATATTATGTACTTACACCTGTAGCATTAAGTTGTGAATCAGGAAGTATTCCTACGTGTATATAAGTATTATTTGGACCCAGGCATAAAATAAGTATGTGAATTGTGGTAAATTATGTTTCATTGTACTTACACCACTCTATCCGACATAGTGAAAACTATCTAGGTAATAATTTTATTCAATCGAGAACAAACTTGATCAAAACATGCACGTAATATCTTTTTAGGAATGAAAGCAATTATTTACAATGGTCCCTCAATATATTTTACACGTTAGCAGATTTTTTAAAAATATGATTGTATTAGGTATATTGGTTGTATTTAGCTCTGCTCTTCAAAAATAAATTCCGATAGGAATATGCAGTACCATGTCTACAGACATTTTTTTGGTAAGACTATACTATGTAGACGTGAATAAGCAAAAAAAAAATGTAACAAATAACCAATCTACTAAATAACAATTTGTGTAAGTGACCCCACAATTAAAACGCCCGTACCTCCGCGGTTAAATTTATAAAGGACCCGGCCAATATAAAACAGTAAAACAATAATTTGCAAAGCAATTAAATGCTCTCATCAGCACCTTATCGCCAGATCTCGGCCCGCATCGTCCTGGCGGACAGACGGACAGACCGACCAATTGGCTGGTATGAGGGAGCAGACGGTAACCACTTAATGCTGCAACAATTACTAATGTTACATGTATCCTGGTTGACTCATTACTAGTATATTATATTTTGGTGGAATTATGTCCCTCCTAATGAAAGACAGGTCAGCGCAATATAGCGTAGCGGATGACTGCAGTGCTTCGATTCCCACACGGAACAACTCTTTGAGCGATCCACGAATGTTGTTTTGTACCTGCAAGCGATGTCTTTTGAATCACGACATAAGAGCAAAATTCTAGTATAGGGCAACGTGTTTTAAAATAAAGCATTTGTAGAAAATGAATTGCTTTGAAATAAATAACCACTTATCAGGATGTTTTTTGGATGAGCTATAA